TTTGTCTGAGAAGTTGCCTGCTAAGGATTTTGAGACTATTCCCACTTGTAAGAATAATAAGGGGTGCCAAGATTCTCTCCTTTCTTCAATATGATGAGGTCAAAGTTCTTATCTTTATACTCCATACATTTCAATTTATGAGTCTTACTCTATATTATTTGTTTAATAAAGAATGTCACTTTCTATATTTGGTAATAATTCTTTAATTCTAACATTTCATCCGGCATGTTTTGATATATTACACATATCTTTAGTTTAATTTTGGAATATTAAATAATCTTACTTTCTTAAATTCCGTGACCAATCAAAACTAAGATAGATCAAATGAAACTGAGGGTGTACTATTTTTAATGGCTAAATCTAATACTCCTTGTAGTGTAGGTTCATTGATTTTGTCATTTATATTTAGCTTCGTGATCAAATAGTTTGAGTCTACGGGTGGTGTGACAATGAAATGCGGACTTTGTATAAATATATATTGCGAAATTCTTCATCTATTATTTGTTTGTCTCGAGCTGAAGGCAGTGTGTCCTGCTGAAAAGGAATTGTCTTTCTTGCAAAGACAAATCCTTTATCCTTGAACTCACACACACTTGTTATTTACAGTTCAAAGATCATCCTGTTTACTTCAAATGTGAAATCAGAAAGATTCAAGCAGAGAAGGTTTTTCTTATATCTATTAGACATATTGCTGTTGATGGGAAGTTGAGAAGTCAGTATGTACAACAGATTTCTTCCATGTTCAGTTATCGTCTGAGATGTTGTCTAAGGAATTTGAGGCTATTCCTACTGTAAGAATGAATAAAGGATGCCAAAATTACCTCCTTGATTCAGTATAAAATGAAGTTCCAATCCTCATAAGCATTTATAATGTTGTCAATCTGATACGCCTTATTTTATGACTTTATGTATATATAACATTTATATATATATTGTTCGAATAGAAGAGCATAAGGCAGTAGGTTCTACGAAAAGTGAGTTCTCTTTCTCCCAAAGACAACTCCTTTACCATTGAACTCACATGGCCATGTTATATATTGTGTATATATAACAGGAATTAATTATGATGAAAAGTCAGATATGATAGAGTTTCAAGTTGGGGTTCTGTCTCAGAAGTTGCTCTTGGAAGAATTTTAGGCAATTCTCACTTGTAAGAATAAGGGTTCCCTAGAATATTGCCTTGCTTCAA